GGCAAAAATAATAAAATTGTTTGTACATCAGAAAATGCATCTCGATAAATAGAAGGCATGTACCAAATCTAAAAAAATATCTAGGGTAATAATACCAAAAAAATGTTTTTTCATAAAACTTTAGCACACTGCAGTTAAAACTTTTAGGACATATGTTCATATGAAGTTTTTTTCTTAAAATGGACCCAAGAATAACCGCCTTAAATATTAGCACGTTATTAAGAAACACCCCGTATAACGCTCTTCTCCAGATAATGCATTGTTATCAACGGTAATCTTTCTACGATTCAAAACTAAATAACAGTGCGTGTTTTTTATCTCAATGTTACTCGTAATGATTGCATAGCAGATATCACTTGTTATCTTATCTTTGTATTATATAATGACTAGACACTGGAAATTTTTTGGCGATAATTAAATAAATAAACAGTAGTAATCTATGTTATGCTAGAAAACGGCAATATGCGTTGTAGTGTACACAAATGAATAATCGAAGCTCAGAACATACAAAATTTTCTCTAACTCACTTACCTCAAGACCATGCTCAACCAACGCCTCTGCAATAGCAGCTCCTATACCGGAACTAGCTCCGGTGACTACGGCAACTTTGCCAACCCAACGATCTATTGACAGCACCATTTTGACCTGTTGACGTGCGATTCTAGCGACAACTAAATGATATTTACCTAATTTTCGTATATACATAAATCATGGAGTGGGGAGAAGCGTGATAGACCATTTATATTGTTAAGGAATGATACAGCTACTCTACCGCGGGAATTTAAGTGGTTATGTATGCATATCAAAGTAAATTGACTGTTACTGGAAGCAGTAAAGATTGGAGTTAAATAGTACCTTGAAATATATCCTTGATGTGGGGTCATATTTTGATAGCTAGCATAGAAAGCAATTTTTGTTTACTTAAATAAGTATGTCCTGTGTAGGCTTCTCTACACATCTTCATAATTTGAACAAGTAATAATAAATAAAGACTTGCTTTGCTTGAGTCATACCAGTGTCAATTTTTTAATCCAATTGAAGGCTTTCAAAATGTCTTCCTCTTTACTTATATCAGTTTCGACGGGGTAGAGTTTACCTTTCTTGTTGGAAAGCTTTTGAGCTAAGGCATCCAGACGATCCTTCCTTCTTGTCAGACCTGCGACCTATTGAGAAATGTTTCATCTATAACAATATTTTTAAGATAACATCTCATTGTTTTCGAAATATTTGCAAAAAATCATTTTGGAAATCCGTTTTTGTTTAATTTCAACCTTGTTTGAGATGATATTGAAAAAATAACATTTCCTCATGCCAACTTTTTGCCCTCTATCGAATGGCATAATCAATTTTTATATGTAACGTTTCGTCTCTCCAGGACCATCACAACTTCATTTTTTTAAATAGAGCCCTGGAAGTTTTATTACATTTTTTGTGAGCCTTCATTATCCTATACTGTACTGACTCAGCCGGAACCAGATTCAGACGTTTTGTCTCGAATAATTCATCTTTAATATATTCGTTCCAAATGTATCTATTTTTTTAGATTTCTATGTTTAATGAATTAGCGTACACTATTAGACCAGGGTCGATAATTTTTGAAACCAAAAAAAATTATAGTAGGATGAAATCCATTGGAAAAGAAAGAGAATATAACAGAAATGAAAGGAAAAATAATTTACGGGCGATCTGAGGTCGGGAAGGGGTAGGGGGTGAGTTTTTAAGGGTAAAAAACGGTTTCCCTTGATTTCCAGAAAAACTACAAGTCTTATGGAAAAAAGTTAAATGACAAAGTTGTAGGTAATAAAAAGATCTACAACTTTTGTATTTACACTTTTTTCACATAACCTCAAAATTTATGTGAAAAATTCAAATAACCAAGTTTTTGGTTTTTTATTTTTATCTTTTACAAAAAAATTTTTTTTTCACGAAATTTGGTGAAAACTTACCTATTTATGTCCCAAACACGCTGTAATTTTTTTGATTTGAAATATTTATTTTTTCACCTTATTTTTACTTAATATCGAAAAAGCACCCTAATTTTCAATCGAAAATTCTCACGTCAAAATATCTGCTTTTTTAAAAACGTCGGTGGGCTTTTTCTTCGTTGAAATCTCTACTTTCTGATGGTGTAAAAAAATATATACATTACTATGGTAAGTTTTCTCAGGAAATGCAAAGAAACGAAATAAGATTCTACAACTTTCTCAAAATATTGTAGATGTCTTATTAAATATTAACTTTATTAACTTATTTGGTTGTTAATTATAATAGTATATTTCGACTTGTAATTTTTTTGTTTATCAATGTAACATGGAATCTTACGTTTTTCGAGTAATTAAAGTGTAAATTTTAATAAATAGCTCAAAATTGTACATAATGATTAGAAAAAAAATTTCGGATTCTAGTTCGTTTCTTTGCATTTCCTGAGAAAACTTACCATAGTAATGTATATTTTTTTTACACCATCAGAAAGTAGAGATTTCAACGAAGAAAAAGCCCACCGACGTTTTTAAAAAAGCAGATATTTTGACGTGAGAATTTTCGATTGAAAATTAGGGTGCTTTTTCGATATTAAGTAAAAATAAGGTGAAAAAATAAATATTTCAAATCAAAAAAATTACAGCGTGTTTGGGACATAAATAGGTAAGTTTTCACCAAATTTCGTGAAAAAAAAATTTTTTTTTAAAAGATAAAAATAAAAAACCAAAAACTTGGTTATTTGAATTTTTCACATAAATTTTGAGGTTATGTGAAAAAAGTGTAAATACAAAAGTTGTAGATCTTTTTATTACCTACAACTTTGCCATTTAACTTTTTTCCATAAGACTTGTAGTTTTTCCGGAAATCAAGGGAAACCGTTTTTTACCCTTAAAAACTCACCCCCTTCCCCTTCCCGACCTCAGATCGCCCGTAAATTATTTTTCTTTTCATTTCTGTTATATTCTCTTCCTTTTCCAATGGGTTTCATCCTACTATAATTTTTTTTCACTTTTTACCATTTTTGAAGGCTTAATTAAGCACTGGTCTATATAAGTGTCGTTGGACCCTATAAAATCCACCTATTTATTTAAACTATTACCATCACACGTTACAATAAAACATTATTGTAACCGTAGTTATTTCTAGGTTTCTCGAGTACTCAAAATTCAAACAAATTTCGATCTAATTTTTTCCAGGATATCCATACAGATACATCTGACATGCTCTTTTACAGTTGCGGTTACAGGTATAATAGATTCCGATCATATTATGCTTATCTTCATGTTCAACATTTGCCAAAACGGAAACGTTTTTGAATACTTACTGTAATTTTTTAAAGTATAATATTCATTTGAATTTTTGGTTGTTCATAAGAATTTTTAAAAATTAATTTAAACAAGGCTGAAATGAAACAAAAACGGATTTCCAAAATTTTAGTTTTTTTTTCAAATATTATATAGCACCCTGTATACACAATACAGTCATCCAGCTACGTGGTGCTTCTGATTTATCAACTTCATATATTTTTTTCTTGATATTTGTTAATAACTTATTATGACGTTTTTGGTGATACCAATTTTATTTTTAATGGCGCATAGGTTTTTGAAGTTGTTAATCACGTTTTTACACAACTTGATTACACAACAAAAAAACTTAAATTGTATTGTAGAATATATTTATTGGTTCATAGTCATAAGGAAATAGTCTTTTACATAATTACATTATTAATATCTATTACCAAAAATATTCCTCCACCCCTCTTATCGTAAGCTCTTGAATCTGAAAAAAGACAAATAGTAAAGGTCCGTTTCAATATCATAAAAATATTGATACAACGAAAATTTTGTTATTAGATGCTTAGTAGTTGATAAACGCAGTGCATACATGAAAGAGAAGAACACTAAAATATTTAGATGGACTTTAAAAAAAAAGTTCTATAAATATTTTTTTTCAAAATTATGTAAGATCTAATAATTATATGATGATATCGTCTTATGATAGATCAAGAGCTATCAGAATCGCTATACTTTATATGTTCTTTACTATTCTATACTAGAGCAAATGAAGACAATGAAAACACACAAAATCTAATCGTCCTAATTCAAAACTGTAGCGAAAATATATTTTGCTCACTTGTACATGTGGAGGTGTCGATAATGCGTAGACAACTCCATCGACTATATTTTCAGGCCCAATCATTTGCTCCCCTCCAGTTTCTTGAACTTTCGCCTTTATAAAATCCGGTACAGATTCGGTATCTATCAGGCCAGGCTTGAGAGTCTAAAAATTAATATAACATTTTTAATGTTAATGTTAATCTTTCCGGGCTTTTATAGTTATAAATCAAATTGTTTTCATTTTTGTGAAGAAAGACAGACATTCGCATGGAGAAAATAATAATGATAGTTCTTCATGTGTGAAAAATTATCACATATTAGTGGAGTAAAATCGCTTAGTTCTTGAAGTAGGTGACCCTTAAGAAAGATGAAACTTATACCATCTTGTAGAGTATGTAGAGCTATAAGAAATGGGAGATTACAACTTTTTTTAGTAGGACCGAACTTTTAACATGACTGATAAGAATGGCCGAGGAGTAATTCGAAAATTCGTGCGCTTCCAAACATACAGCGCATTATTTACGGAACGAAATAAGTTATCGATTCGATTTTTTTATGTAACATGTAGTAAAAACTTGAACGGTTCTTATGGTATATTTGGAATTCTCAAAAAGTCAACGGATTTTTTATAAATTGATGTGAAGTTAGAAATAACAAATATTAGCTAGAGTTTATTATGTATATGGTGTTTAAAACTTACCGTTTTCGAGATAATTAGTTGTTTTTGAAAAAAAATCACGATTTCAGCTCTCTAAATGAGGCTAGACAGCGTCTAAACCCGCAGTTTTCACAGTTCGTTTTCCAGAAAAATCAGGTTCTTTTCTAAAGTCCGAAAAAGTAGCTATGTAACACTAAGAGTTACTAAAAGTAGACTTTCAGCGGAGATTGGAGTTTTGTCAGTCGGCACTTGAGATATGTTAAATAAAGATGATGATTTTTTTAAACGGGTCATGAGGCTGCTTTTCATAAAAATGGTTTCGTTAATTTCGATTCCGGACATCTCATAGCCAACGATGGTCTTTATACGCGTGAGGAGTAATTTTGGGAACCCATATCATTAGACCATTCTTTTTGACCAGCATCTAACTGGAGCAGTTTATTAAAAATTTTTAACAAACACTCTTAGAAGATTTAAAAACGCAATTATATACAGGGTGTTCCATTTAAAATAACAAAGTTATGTAGCGCTCACGCGAAATGGAACATCCTATAAAGCTAAAAATATTTTTTTTTGCATGGCCCACATGATTCCAGACAGCTTTTATTACAACCATTTTTTTTATAAATTTTACAGTCATAGAGTTACAGAGGAATCCCTCTTATGTGGAACACCCTGTATTATCCATACTGTAAATATCGGTATACAAAAAGCAGAAAATTGAAATTATGTTAAACACTTCTTAACAGAGTTACAGTTGCACAATTAATGGGCCTAGGAATCATTTTCGCATTTGCATTAAGACTTTTTTAATGTTAGAATGAAGTTTTATTATTATTATTATTATTNTCCAAATCATTTACCTCAAGCCCATGCTCAGCCAACGCCTCTGCAATAGCAGCTCCAATACCGGAACTAGCCCCAGTGACTACGGCCACTTTGCCGACCCATCGTTCCATAGACAGCACCATTTTGACCTGCTAAACAACTAAATGATATTTACCAAATTTCCGTATATACATAAATCATGGAGTGGGGGGAAGCCTGATAGACCACTTATACAGGGTGGTTCAAACTTATCCAAAAAAAAAAAAAAGGATATTATTATTATTAATCTTTTTGCATCACATACTTACAGTAATTTTAATTTTTAATTTCAATTTAAGGAGTTCAAGTCTCAATGTTTCTGCCAAGGCTCTAACTGCAAATTTGCTAGCAGAATACATATTCGCCTTCGGCGACACTCCCGCAACAGTATTGATGTGTATTATATGACCGTCTACGTTATTTGCTCTCATATCCCTGATAGCTTCCCTTGTGGCTATGGACAAACCGAGAACGTTGACGTTAAGGGTGTTCTTCCAAATGTCTATGTCTCCATCTGCTAGATCCGTCTGTGTGTAAACACCAGCGTTGTTGATGAGAATGTGAACTGGGCCTAAGTTTTCTTTGACCCACTTGAAAGCGTTTATAATGTCTTCCTCTTTACTTATATCCGCTTTCAATGGGTACAGTTTACCTTTCTTGCCAGAGAGTTTTAGAGCCAAGGTATCTAGTCGAACCTTCCTTCGTGCCAGACCTACAACCTATTGAAATGTTTCATAAAATATAACGTGTGAGGAGCTCTTACGTATAGTTATAGTTATTAATTATTGTTATTAATTGGTTATTGTTATATTTAATTATCAATTATTATATGGTGTTGAATGAATCGCCCTGTATATCGTATATCTTCCAGTTTATTTCAGTTACACAAACTCAAGCAGAAATGCTCTGATAAGCCGGCCTATATTGAGAAACGCTTACGTAAACTTTTCCGGAATAGTTCATTCTTTGTGCTATTATAATTAAAAATATATATATTTTGGGCAGAGATCTACAAGCTGCCGAGAGTAGCATATGGGTCTTTGACTTTAGCCTTAACATTTCATAAGCAGGGACCTTTTTTCTTTTTGTCCGCGTGCTACAATGAATTCTGACAGCAGTAACAGTTAATGTAGTTGTGAATTTTCTAAAGAAAAGCGAAAATATTCAAAGTATGAGTCAGAACGGAATTTTTCAAATAAAATCGGAGAACACGTAAATCCGATTCGTCGTCAGATGCAGAAGTTGAACCAATCCGATACAAATAATTCACAGCTAAGTTCTTCTGCTGAAGCCCTGATTTTACCCTTAACAAACGCTCTTCTCTAGGTATAAAAACACGTGCCAGGCCGACAGGGCAGGCGTTAGGGTGTCGCTAGATACGTATCGAATAAATTGATCGATGCGAAGCTTCAGATCAGAGGCAGACTTGGCATGTTACTGTACAATGACACTGATAGTGGAATTACTAAAGTCGCCACCATTAGTAAAAACCTCGACTATTTTAGATATGCGCCTGTGACCTCGTAGACTAGGCGATATCTGTTTTGGTTTGGGTGAATCGTATATCCACGGAGATTTTTGGCTTTCAAATATCACTAGATATGAAAATTTTTCTATGCGCATAAAAAAACGTGGGCTTAACTTTTGGCGGCACAATATGTTAAAAAAATTTCGAAAAATGTCATATTTTTCTTCCTATTTAATTATGTATCTTTTCAAGTGTTAATTTTAGGCGAAAATGGAAGAGGAAAAAAATGTTTGTAATTAAATTTAAATATGACTAGTTACAAATCAAATGAATCATGATTATTATTGTAAAAATCCAAAAACTCGCAAAAAATGGGGTTAAAAAAACATTACTTTTTAGGGAATTTTTTTTGGGGTCTTTAAATTGGGTATAGGACCTTCATACTTGGCTCAAGAAAACTTCATTTTATGTAGAACCATCAGAATATAATATAAATAATATAAAAATATGTATATGATATACGGGGTGAATCACAAATGGTGACCAAAAATGAAATCTCGTCTTCTTTGGTGAATTTTAAGGGGAGTCTTCCTATAAAGATTTTATCTAGGATGCTTCGTTAAAAAGATACAGGGTGTTAAACTTCAAAAAATATTTTTAATTTTTTTAAATAATTTGAAATTGGGCACATGTATTTATGTAAACATTGTCCAAAATCTGATCGCTTTTCCTAACATTTACATACTCCAGTGGCGGAGATACAGGGTATCGGTGGCATATTTTTATAAATAAAATAGTACGCCACTGTTTTACGGTAACAACCATGAAATGTTCGGATTTGTCTTTCAATTTTCTGTAAATTACTACCTCTTATGTTTTAGGAAGGACTTCCGTTACAATTCACCAAAGAGTACGAGGTTTCATTTTTGGTCACCATTTGTGAATCACCCTGTATAAATAATATAATATATAAATAATATAATATAGTATAATATAATATAAAATATATAAAAAGTGCAGTGCAATGGCAACGGTGGTGTCAATTTTTGTTTGAATAAAATTACATAAAAGAGAACCCGCCCTACAGCCAACCCCGTACATACCATATTGCAGCCGCCCTAACATTTCCATTCTCTAATACTTATTAATATAAATAATAAATAATTATTATTAGAATTTTTAAAATATCGCGTACTTTCAGATTTTTTCGTTAGAGAAACTGTATGATTGTTAGTCACAAATGGATAATTTTTAACACGATAATATTGACACAAAAAAGAGAATTTGAGTCAAAACTCTTTCTTTTTTCTTAAAGTTAATCCACTTTCGAAGCTGAGAACATAAAAAATTTTCCAAATCATTTACCTCAAGCCCATGCTCAGCCAACGCCTCTGCAATAGCAGCTCCAATACCGGAACTAGCCCCAGTGACTACGGCCACTTTGCCGACCCATCGTTCCATAGACAGCACCATTTTGACCTGCTAAACAACTAAATGATATTTACCAAATTTCCGTATATACATAAATCATGGAGTGGGGGGAAGCCTGATAGACCACTTATACAGGGTGGTTCAAACTTATCCAAAAAAAAAAAAGATGGATGTACAGGGGGACTCTTACAAATACAATTTTGTAAAGAAGAAATCAAAACTGACAAAAACTTGAAAGAATTTCGCAAGGAAATGAATACATATAATTTGATAATACCTATTTTGTATCAGCACATTCAACTGCTTTTGCCGCTATTGTTATTATTAACTAATAACATTAATTTGTGGTTTTAATTAATAAAATAATTTGACATAAGTACATAATGTATGTTACAACAACTGTTACAAAATTTTGTCCAGTGACGCGACATGTAAACACATTTTGGCCCGTCAGTTTCTACGAATTAACACAAATGTTGTCCTGCTTCACCATAAATTAAAACGATATCCGTCACTTCAAAGTTGCTATACACGCAAGCCATTTCTGACACTAACTTTAAAAAACTATTGTAAACACTATCGCAACGACGATTCGGATTTGAATATTCAGAGTCGCTGAGGCCACGTAGAGACCTCAGTTGTCCAGAGATGTAATGCTTGAAAGTATTACAACTTCAATATTTTTTTTCTCGGAACCATGAGGATTTTACGAAAATTTTTTACGATATTGACTCCATTTCTCTTGCCGCATCTATTCTCAATTTTTTTTGGATAAGCTGTGAATCACCCCGTGTTGTTAAGGAATGATACAGCTACTCTACCCAAGGAATTAAGTTATTTATGTATATCAGAGTAAATTGACTGTTACTGGAAGTAGTAAAGATCAGAATTAAATAGTACCTTGAAATATATCCTTGATGTGGGGCCCTATTTTGATAGCCAGTATAAGAAGCAAATTTGTTTATTAAATAAATATGTCCTATGTAAGCTTCTTCTACAAATCTCCATAATTTGAACAAGTAATAATAAATAAAGACTTGCTTTACTTGAGTCATAACAGTGTCAATTCTTGTTGTACATTGTTACTCTGAATAACATTATAACATTTTTTGAATAAATCTTCCATTTCCTGCTATAACAACATTGTTTTAGATGCATTTACAGAAGCTGCTCTTAAGAAATTAAAGAATAAAATGAGATCTGGGTCGGATGATATTCCATTATCTTAGAAGATTGTGCTGCAGTTTAAATTTGCTTTAAAACCTAAAATCCTTCCAAATCCTTGAAAAGAAGCCAGGGTTTGTACTGTATTTAAAAATGGTGACAATTTGAGAACTATAGACAAATATCAATTCTTTCCAATTTTTCTGAGGTGATCGATATAGCATTTATACTATGTTGATTTTATTAAGTTACTTCCACAACAGAATGCAGTATGGTTTTGATTCTACCGCTTACGCAGCAACCTCTGTAGTGCCTCAGGGTTCTACACTTGCCCCGTTACTGTTTGTTTTGTTCATTAATAACCTTAACGAAGTGATCATCTGTCGTAGATTATTGTATGCAGATGATTTAAGAATATTTTCATCCATAGCTAGTGTTAATGATTGTAATAACCTATATAACTTGATCATATCCCTACAATCTTGGTGGGTAGAAAATAGATTACATCTTAACCCACCGAAATATAATACCTTAAGTTTTTCCAGAAAATTATTTATACATAAATGTAATTATAGGATTGATAATACTGAATTATCCTGTCAAAATTTTCCTTTATTGATCATTTAGCCCTTAAAACAAATGAAGCGTTGAAATTTTATGGATTTGTAATAAATACTATTAAAACCTTGTATTTTGCGTATGTACGTTGTAGACTAGACTATGCAGTGTTAGTTTGATGTCTTTTTCATAACATACAAAAAACCTTTGTGGGATGTGTTTGGAGAAAGTTTTTGAAGTATGTGGTATTTAAAGATGTTGGCATTTACTCCTATAGTTACCGTGTTTCCACTAGTTTAGTTGATACTACCAGTTTAAAGACTAGAGGAACTTATATTTCAGTAACTTATACTTATAGAATCTACAGAATCTTATCGACTGCTCTAAATTGCTTTCTGCTATAAAGTTTTATGTACATTTCACTCAGATCACCAATGCACGTCATGAATGATAACTGTAAACGATTGTAGCAACCTTGTGATTTTTTCCGTTGATCATTAAATGCTCTTACTAATTTAGCCATTGAACAGTATGCTAATTACCTTTTAGTTGTACTTATCAGTATAATTATAATATTAAAATGTACTCAACATCATTATTTATTATAGTAGCATATTTGTATGCATTTATAAATTTTTTTGTTTATTTATATGTTGTATTCATATTGTTTGTTCATATATAGAGGGAAATGTACCTACTTAAAATTAAAATTAAGAGCTGAAATTTTTTCCAATGTATAGAACAATATTTGGTCAATACAAAGGAGCGAAAAAAAGCTTATACAGGGTGATTTCACATTATATACAGAAACTGTAGGAATAGAAAAAATAAGTAGCGTTTGTTCTATAAACTTTTTTCCTGGGGACGTGGTATTCGAATAAAAAATATGCCACTGTTGTTTTTTTGTAAAAACAATGTTAAATTCAGAGATCCATAAGAGTGACTCTCTTATTGTAGACAACCTGTATTCATTTATTAGCGTGTACCAAATTGGAAAAAAATTGGTTAAAAGAAAATTGTTTTTAATTTGTTTTATTTCAAAATGGCTGTAACTCGTTAGGAATGCATTTTCGTAAATTAGGTTCAAACAATTTATTTTGACTTCCAGTTTCTGTTGTTTAAGTGTGGTTACATATTTTAGAATGATCCTGTATATTGAGAGTATTTTCCATGCCCACGTCATGATTTCAGGGAATTGTTCTTTGGACATTTTACACCAAAAAGGTAAAATACTATCAAATTTATTGAAATACATCTAAAGATGTTACATACGTTGATGAAACCTAGGCTAATGATTTAATTAATTAAATTAATTTAATTAATTGATATTTAGTTACGTGTGGTTGGCAGCATTGCGCTGCAATGTAAAATTTTGCGTGAAACTGGGGAAAATTTTCACGGGAACTTTTGAACTGTTGAAACAACCTTACGGAGATGATGCTCTGGGAAAAAACAGTTAAAGATTTAGCTAGTAGCAATGACACAGATACAATTACAATTAATAATTTTCTGTAAGAAACGAATGTAACTCCCTCTCTTCTCGAGTGCTATCATGGAAGAAAGCAAAGCGGAAATGGAAAAGAAAGGCCATTTTAGTTTGTCTGTGATATTTATACTCTTGCGTAGATGGCGCTTCGAACAATAGGAAAGGGTATTCGTTTGCAATATAGGAGCGTTCTCCTATGTCATACAGGAATTCAATTAAAATGTAACTGAAATAATTAAAATTTCTTTAAGAGACCTATCATTTTTAGTTTTTATTTTGAATAACTATTTATTACTAACTATTTACTGGGTATTGCTGAGATATGCATGTAAAACAACTTTATATTTACGTATTTAATAATAATTAATGATTGCCACTGTCATAATTAATGTCACTGGCGCCTTCGCCATTTTATCGAAAATTCTCCTATACCTGATAATTGTTATATGAAAATATTACATTTTAAATAAAAAAGTTAATGTGGCATAACCAAGATACAGGGTGTCATCCAATTTATTTTTTTTAGGTGTGAAACCCACTAAGAATACATGAGGATCAAACAAACTATTAGTTGAATCACATAGATCTAGTAGTTGAGAACTTATTCTGTTGTCATTTATTGTCAAATAAGTTTTAAATATTTGATTAGGTTGTAATCTCTCCAAAGGTGGCAAATTTTTCAGTCCCTGGAAAACGGTAACAATATTTTGATAACGTTACCATAATGAAATTATATTTAAACAAATTAATTGTCATTTACTCGATTGATCGATTATATAGCAGCCTCAAGGACATATGATATATGGTATATAAATCACACATGTCAACGTGTTACTCGAATTACAAGTAATTTACCTACCTTAAGCTCCGGCTCAACCAACGTTTCTGCAAAGCTGGAACTATACCAAGTGACTCACCACCAAACCATCAATCAATTGTGAATACAGATATACAGACGCCGCAGCAATTAATAAAAAACAACCATCGATAAAACTATGGTAAGTGAGAATAGCAATTAAATAATATGCATATGATAGCTCTTGCAACCTTTGTCAGTTGTTTATTGTCAAAACAGGTATTATATTATATTATATTATATTATATTATATTATATTATATTATATTATATTATATTATANTATTATATTTTATTATATTTATTTAAAAAAATTGACAACGATTTGAAAAACGCTCTAAAAGTGAAGTACTTGTATTTAATATAAAAACAATATTTAAATATATTATTTAAAATAAGAGATGGCAATCAAATTGTCGCTGGCATAAAATCAAATGTTTTGTGAAACCAAGAACAAAAGTTTAGATTTTATAATTACATTTATTTGTCTTACATAATACACCATATCGACAAATTATTAGATAGATAGGAAGAATAAAACTTGAGTTGTATTTTGTAGAATACATTTATTCAGTTCATAATTATAAGGAAATAGTCTTTTCATTGCGTTATTAACATCGATTAAGAAAAAGATTCATTCACAGCTCGTATCGTAAGCTCTTGAATCTGAAAAAAAATAAACGGTAAAGGTCAATTTCAGTATCATGAAAATTGATTTAATGAAACCATTTGTTCTTAGATGCTTGACAGTTGATAAGCGTAGTACATACAATATGAGAAAAGTATAAAAGTGTTGAAAACTATTTTTTTTCAAGTTCTGAAACCACGAAAACAAAATCGCTATACACTGTAAAAAAATCGGTGTTAGTGAAAGCAATAAAGGTTCGGAGTGAAATTATTGAGTAAATTTTCACTCAATATTGGGCATTTTGATCATTTTACTCATTTGTGATTGTATTGAAACTAAAACTGAGTACGTTCACTCAAATATAGGTACTCCTTAAATAAATTCTTCACGTAAACTCGTATTTGGTGCACTTGTACCTAAATCAGAGTAAATGTCCTCGTTACTGAGTGATCCCACCCTTTCTCATATCCAGATGCATTGTCTTTGTCTGTTCCCATCGTCCCATTAGGTTATCTCATGACCGTGGCGTGGTGGATGGCAGTATGGCGTATGGTGTGCTTTGGAGGTGGACAAGTATCGGTTTATCTGGTTATTCTAGTGAAAATTGAATTTAAATGCAGTGATTTACTTACAATAATTAAAGAGAATATATTAAGTCTCGATTAATATTTGGTTAAATAAACGGATAATTAAATTGTTATCTAGAATTACGTATTTGTAACCTACAATATAGGTGATGGCAATCTATTCGTCTGATCAGTTCACCAATTCCTTTAATCGAGACCTAAAATATTGTCTCTAAAACAGATCTGTGTAGAAACCACTGTAGCAGCTTAGTAGTTTGTGACTTTAATACAATGATATTTAAATAAAATTTAAAGAGAATATAAACCAAATCTGATTAAAAAATTACTCAATAATAAATTTAAATCATATTAGAGAAAAAATCAACTCTAAATTGGTTTTATATACTCAGAGTAGAGTCAAAAGTCACTCAGTTGATAGTTAGCAGTAACTCGCATTTGAGTAAAACTCACTCAATAGTACTCATACTAATAGAGTAAAAATTTCACTCAATTGGATGTGAACAGAAATTGATACATTATTGAGTAAAATTGAGTGAAATTTGAGTGAAATATTTCTTTAGTGTACTTTTGAATACCCAAATTAGGTACTTACAATATTTTTATATTTGAATTCAACGGATTTTTACCTCATTGGAGCAAGGTTTCATCACTCTACGTTACCAAATTCAGAGATATTTTTGAACATATGATTTTTTCAAATTTATTTTTTAAATATCAACATTCTATATAGGAAACGAAGGGTATCCGGACATATTTATAGAAACTCTCTTATTATTTTTTTGCAAGGAATGTCCACTCAGTATTAATAAACTACTCTGTCTATTCCATCAATAAACATTTATCCGATTCAATGAACAAAAGGGCAGTGGAAATGACTGAAAAACCCATATAATACAAAAGGCAGTGTTCTAATTGCCCTGATTCAGAACTGTAGATGTCAGACAAATCAAAGGAGTACCAAATAGATCTCAAACAGTAATCAATTATCAGCTCAGACTCTATAATGGATCTGAGTAGACACAACAGAAAGGAGGACAATATATTTTGAAGACACTGCTTCTCTTTACAATTGAGGTAACGGCAAAGACCAAAGTACCTTTACATACATTCGCTTACTTAAAAAACTGTTCAAATTGTAAGATGATGCAAAACTATAATTTCTATACTTTTTAGATTATACAGAGTTATACAAAATTTGGGAATATGAATATGAATATTGAAAAATTAAGTCAATATCATGTAAAAAAATTTTCCGGGGAAAAAATAACTGAAGTTGTAGTATTTACAACCATTACAACCCTTACATCGCTGTGCTACTCTAGTGTCAATCACGCTGTACGCAATGCGCTCTCTCTTTCTCCATGTAGCCTCAGATTGTTTCGAATACTGAAATCCGATTTTAGTATTGATGTTATTGCGATAGTGTTTACATTTGTTTTTAAAGTGTCAAAAATAGCTTACGTGTGACTGAAGACAATATTTGTGTTATGTTGAAGTAAGACAACATTTGTGTTAGTTTGTAGAATCTTGATAAGACGGGCCTAAATATGTATACATATTTAGGTGGACAAAATTTTGAACAGGTATGTCAAATTAATTTATTAATTAAAACCACAAATTAATTCTATTAATTAATAATAATAGCGGCAAAAGCAGTTGAATTTCTGATATAAAATAGGTGTTATAAAATTTTATTTATTTTTTCCTTGGGAAAGAAATTCTTTCAATTTTATGTCCGTTTATTTTTTATTACACTTTGCCGCCGTGCCGATCGCCGACTGCTTGCTTTGCCTTGCGCAAGGTCAGGTTTTACAGTGGACCAGATTGCAGTGCCATGCAGAAGTGTATTTTTAAATGATTTTTGAACTGCCCTTTTTGTTTTTTTACAAAATTCTATATGTAATAATCCCCTGTACATTCAAAAAATTTTTTTTTTGATAAGTTTTGAAACACCCTGTATATGTTACTTACTTGTACATGCGGAGGTGTCGATAATGCGTACACAACGCCATCGGCGATATTTTCAGGCTCAATCATTTGGTTCCCTCCAGTTTTTCGAACTATCTCCTTTATATAATCGGGCACAATTTCGGTATCTGTCAGACCAGGGCTAAGGTTCTAAAAATAAATTTATGCATTTTTAATATTAAAATATAATACTAAACTTTTATAACAGCAGCCAAGTTGTTTTCATTCTTGTGAATGAAAGACATGCATGGAAAGAATTAAGGTAGTCCTCCATATTTCGTGAAAAATTGTTACATACGTAATCATAATGGATAGAAAAGACTAACAATATGCGTAAGGGGTAGTTTTAGAGGATGATTGTCTCATCCCCATCTTATTTTTCAATGTTAACATTATTTCGTTGCATTTTACTAGTTTTATTTTGATAAATCGAAATTCTTTCAATTCAAGTATATAGAGTAATATAATTTTTTAATATTTGAACGAGATTATATTTCTAATTTACAAATATTTCCCCGAAATTGTGGTTCATTTAAAGAGTTTCTCTTGTGAGAAAGTAAAATAACTCCCTTGATATTCATAATACAGAAAAAAGCTTATATAAAAGTTGTACAAAATCAAAACACCTAAAAGACAAAATTAATTTGAAATACACATGGCGATGAGTAAAAACGGGACACGCCAAATATTACATTTTTTAAATGGTACACCCTGTACATTTTTAAACATATGGATTTCTGAGAAAATTCTGTATATGGCAATATTAACATATTAACATTTTAGTGCGGGGTTGCCAAGTTATCTAGAAAATTATTCGAATTTTGGGAAAAACATGATGTCGAAGAAGTTGTATTAACTTTCAACTACTAACACTTGGAGCAAAAATATTTGACAGAGTTATAGGCAGATGTTAGGCAAAGACTCCTATATTAGCTAATTTCGATATTTTATACAGGGCATTTTTTATAATACGATCATTTTAAGAAAGTTCAAACTTGATTTTCTAAAATTTTTCAAATGGAACACCCTGTATTTTATTATTCTATTTTATTCACATATCAGTCCACTTCAACTTTTATTAAGTATGTTCTACATCTAAAGTTGTTAGTTTTTAAGATATAACAACATTTCTGGAAAAACCTAATTTTTATTATTTTCCGTCACACGAAATGGCTTTGGAAAAAACATTGGGTCAACTTGTTAGTTCATAATTTATCATTCCATTTTGAGTTAATTTTATTAGTTAATATTTATTTGTGGTATTCTATAAAATAATAAAAAATAAGTTTTTTCAGAAATGTTGCTATATCTTAGAAACTAACAATTTTCGATATGTGAATAAAATAGAACAACAAAATACAGGGTCTCCATTTGAAAAATTTTAGAAAATCAAGTTTAAACTTTGTAAAAATGATCGTATTATAAAAAATGCCCTAATTATAATATACTGGATCAAAATTTTAGCCTTAGCTTAATTCGATAATCCCCTAGCAATAGGAAAAAGATTGACTTTGGCAGTTTCTCAGTGGCGTGCGTACGGATTGTACTGTAAGGTTTTTCGAAGCAAATTGTGGTACGCCACTGGTAAAAACATTTTTTTAATATGTTTTTATGATCCACTTTTATTTTAAAAATTACCGTATTGCGTTTTATTTCTATCTCTTGTAATTTTTCCGTAAATAAAACTTTTGTAAATACCATAATTTCCCACTGCTAACAGGAAAATAAACATAACATAAACATTATGAAGTATGCTTTGACTCGGCCACCGAACATGGTCAAATAGGCATTGAAAAAAGACTTTTACATTCAAAACGATATTAAAAAACTAAATTTTTTGAATTTTTTTAGCGCCTTGTAGCTTGGAAAAGAAAACCCGTAGAGCATAACTCTATATGACAAATATTTATTTTTTTAAATAAAAAATCCGCCGTTTCATTTATTCCCAACCTTTACGTTACACCCTGTATAGAAAGGATCCTTATTTTCTGAAAATATCGGTAGACAATTAGGATCATTTATACAAATAATAGAAGAATAAAAATTGTAACAAACACTAGAATCTAGTGATTTTTGATAGGTTAATTATGTGATAAGTAGTTCGTTTTTTTTGCGTCATATACTTACAGTAATTTTAATTTTCACTTTCAAGTTAAGGAGTTCCAGTCTCAAAGTTTCCGCCAAGGCCGTAACTGCAAATTTGCTAGCAGGATACATATTCGCATTCCGCATATTAGGTACTTGGTGCCCCACAACACTATTGATGTGTATTATGTGACCATCCACGTTATTCGCTCTCATATCCCTGATAGCTTCCCTCGTGGCTATGCACAAACCGAGAACGTTGACGTTAAGGGTGTTCTTCCAAATGTCTATGTCCCCATCAGCTAGATCCGTCTGTGTGTAAACACCAGCGTTGTTGATAAGAACATGAACTTGACCCACATTTTCCTTGATCCATTTGAAGGCGTTTATAATGTCTTCCTCTTTACTTATATCCGCTTTCACTGGGTACAGTTTACCCTTCTTGCCAGTAAGTTTTAGAGCCAGTACATCTAGTCGAACCTTTCTTCGTGCCAGACCTACAACCTATTGAAATGTACCGTAAAATATAATATTCTCCTCCAGGTAATGCTTCTATGATTCAACACTAAATAGAGGTGCCTATTTTTTATCACAATATTGTAATTTTGATTGTAATGATTGTTCAGCAAATACCATTTTTTATCTTATCTTTGTATTATAATTAATACGGTTATTACACACACGAATTTACATGAGTTTTTTTCGTTGGACAAAACTGATATTAACGCAAGAAAGAGGGTTTGGGTCAATATTTCTTCTTTCTGTCTTAATCTTAGTCTACTTCTGAAGCTTAGAACAAAATATTTTGTAAGGATACTTTCTAATTCACTTACCTTAAGCCCATGCTCAACCAAGGCCTCTGCAATAGCAGCTCCTATACCGGCACTGGCTCCAGTGACGACAGCCACTTTGCCGACCCAACGATCCATAGATAGCACCATTTTGACATGTTGATGTGCGATATTGGTGCCAACTAAATGATTTCTCCAATTTCCGTACCTTTATAAATAATCGTAAATCTGGAGAGGGAGATATAGCGATAAACCACTTATATTGTTTTAAAAATATTGTGCGGAATGATACAGCTATTCTACCTCAGTAATATAAGTAGTATAAGTCTGCGTAAATTGACTAAGATTGGAAACAGTAAAGATTGGAATAGCATTTTTCTTTCACGAGGTAAGAAAACTGATATGATGTATTCTTGAAATGGGGTCATATTTTGACCAGTGTATACAGAGTGTAAGAAATTTGACTGCCATTACTTCAGCATGAGATAGAGTAATCATAAATGAACAAAAAACTCGTATATTACAGGGGCCTAAAATTAACAGTTTTCAAAATATAGCGAGTATTAATATTGGGGAGTTTCATCACAACGTGGCAACAGCGCTTAACCTAACGCTACACAGCTGGTGCGTACCACATGTGCACGCGGCAGACTTGTCCTACGGAAAAAATGTAAACAACTATTATTATGGAACATATAATTTCAAGACAATTGTTTTCCAGTTTTTAAATAAATAAAATAAAATGTATCGATTTTATAGTACGAAGATATGGTCCACGGGCCCACGTACAAAGAAAAAAATGATTACCAGCAAGCTGTAATTTTGCGTGCAGTTTAAGTTTGACGAGTCTCCCAAGGAAAACGAGGAAAATTCAATAGTGGTAAGTTTTCCCGTGATTTTCAGGAAAATATATCAATCTGGCATAAACATGGAATGTTATGACCAGCACTTTTTTTTAAGTTTAAATGAAAGATATATTTTTTTAAACCCCCCAAAAAATTTGTTCGACAAAAATGTTGATATTTTGAGTTTGTCCGCCACCCCAAATATGTCGATTTGGTGACATTATGGTTGGTGACAACCAGCAAGCTGATTTTTCTGGGAGGGTTTGGTAATAAGATTTGAAATGAAAGTATCTTATTGTCCGACAAAATTCTTGAGAAGTGTTTGCAGTCCGACGCCCCGAAGATGTCGACTTAACGACAACACGGTTTTAATGAAAAAATAAAGAAGAATAAATAAGAATATTATCTTGTTAACAGGAGCAACAGAAATTGAAATTCATTAATAACTATGTCCAACTAATTTAATTAATCTCCATCAAAATGATTTCTTTGTTCAAAAAACTTATATGTACAGTTTATTTTATAAACTATTGTAACTATTTTATAAAAACTGGTAACTGTACAATGAATGCATAAATTTTTGCTTGTGTTTTTTTAAATTAAAATTTGCAATCTTGTTTTGACAAACAGTTTACACATAGTTTTGTTCTTGAAAAACCAGTTAAACCAATTTTAAAAATATTATTATACATTTTTTTTTATTTATCAACGCGTTTATCAGAAGATTGTCTTGTTATAAAGTATAAATCCTTAATGCGAAATGACTTTGCAGCATTTAAAACTTCCTGCCAAAGTTCTTAACAGGTGTTGATATCTTCATAAACAACTGATTTGTAACCCCAAAAACCCCACAAAAGTCTCGGCATTCCATCTCACATTTATGTACATATAATTTAAATTAAGATGTAATTTTATGTACGAATAATACTTAATGGACAATAGCATACAAATGACAGCAATAAGACAAGTGGAATATGTCAATTATTTGATTTTCGTCCAAACTTAAGAAACTTCACCGCTAAAATAATAATAGGAAGATACTTCATTGTAATTTAATTCAACAGCATTGGAAGTTTCAAAGCCAAATATCTCGAAAACGATGCGAGACAGCTAGTTTTATAAAGTGTAGCTTTTTTGTGTAAAAAAACTTGGAAAATAAAAATTTGAGACCAAAGATGAGATACCGTAAAGTATAAAAAAGTTATGTCGTTTTTAACACATTCAATCTACTGCAGCTAGCGCCCTCTATGAACTTTAACCAAAATGTGAACACATTTCAATTCTTCTAATTAAAGAACTCCAAACCTCAAAATTTTGTGAGGATATTTACATTTGTTAAGGAATAAATGAAAAAAAACTAAAATAATGTTTTACATTTAACTCCCTGTATCTCTTTAACTATCAACTTTTAGACTAAGGTAAGTTCGGCTAAATCGCAATATTTTTGCTTCAAGAATATACCCATGAATTTTGACCTATTAGCTCGGGACCACCCTGTATACAATTTTTTTTGTAATTGTATAAAAAAATAAATTTAAATTAGTCATATTTATTTTGAAATTTGAGAAATTTAAACAAAATTTCTTTTATTCATATATTTTTCTTTATTAAATATAAAATTTTCTTCTACATCATGCGTAAGTATTGAAACCGCAAAATTTTATAGTTTAATTTTGTCGAGCAAGCAAAAAAATACCAATAATTTTGTCGGACAATTGAATTATCAGATTAATATTGCATTTTTTAAATAATGGCGCTTTTGTCCGACAGCTGGTTATCACCAACCATGTTGTAGATAAGTCGACATCTTCGGGGCGTCGAACTGCAAAAACTTCTCAAGAATTTTGTCGGACAATAAGATACTTTCAATTCAAATCTTATTACCAAACCCTCCCAGAAAAATCAGCTTGCTGGTTGTCACCAACCATAATGTCGCCAAATCGACATATTTGGGGTGGCTCAAAATGTGGCTCAAAATGTCCATCGCCATTTTCGATGCACGCACAAACCTATTTTCGCGCACTCACTGAAAAACAGCTCAAGAAAAGGAAATGGTGATACGCAAAAAACACTCAGACACGGTCCAATTCCAGATACCACCTGAATTGCATAATGCTGGACAGCTTAGTAACTCGTGTTATTTGACGCGCTGTTGTCACATTGCTCGATATGAATTTTAACGAATCTTAAATTTATTACAACACTAATTATTTTGAATTGACTTGTTTTTTCCTTAGATTAAATAACCCTCATCTTCATTAAAATAAGAATTATTTCACTAGTCTTTTGTCGCCATTATTTCTTTTGTAATTTGTTAGAAAATGGCTGTTCCTTGCGCAATTTTAAAAGTGCGCTTAATTTTTTTTTGAACTTTAAAAAGGATAAATATATTTTAGAAAATACAATGGGACAAGAAAGGTTAAGTGCTAAATCCACGAGCCGTCACTGTTCTAAACACTTTCGGAGTTTCTTCTGAAGAAGAGATTGATATGTCTCTCGAAACGTCTAGACGTCTAAAGCAACAACATAGCAACCAGTTCAGATTATTATTCAAGTGTTGCCATCCTCGTTAGACATTTACATATACAATGTTGAATAATACCTAATTCAAAGTCAGGGTGAGGCTGTAATCAGGCTATAGTGAAATATTGATAAGTCATTGCGAACCTTGTGTTTACGAATTTGAATTGTTTAGGAATTAATTTCTTAAAATTATTAATCTGCAGCATGTTCTGCTTAAGGACTATACATATCTTCCTGTACCATTTTTATTTATTAACTTTCTATTTTCTTTTTGAATTTAGAGAAACTGACCATGCTTCATATTTCTTTATTTTTAAAGTAACCAGCCATGTAAATAAGTATCTTAATATTTTTTCGTTAAGAATTTAACTTATTAAAACAATTTTCATATTTTAATAACATATCAATTTAAAGAATGACTCGTCCACTGACCTCACAGTAAGCTCTTGAATCTGAAAAAAAAGAAATATTGGCTGTTTTAAAGATATCAATATTTCGGACTAGGATTTACTTAATTTATACAGAGTGTTTCTGAAATAAGTGCGTGCCTTGAAAGGGGTAATTATATTAAACAACTAATGGTCTAAAATATTACGTTTCAAATTGAAAACAAAATTCACATGAAGGTTTAAACAAATTTAAAGCCGTCCTTGGTGCGGCGGCTAGCTGTTCCTTTGATATCGAAGCTACCGCGCGTCGTAGTGCGAAAGCGCTGATGACAGTTTTAACGGTTTAGGTTTTGTATTCGAAAATGAAATTTATTCAAATGTCGTTTAAAAGTAACACAAAAATTAAACGAATTAACAAACTACTTACCAATCGACGATATGCTCTGCAAAAATTGTTCAAAGTTGTGCTAATAAACATGCTTCCAAACGATAGTCAAAATTCTGTCACCAAAAACGCACCACACATTCACTGAAAACCATTGCTGGAACCGAGACCTTTGTACTAGGTGAAGATTTGCATCACACCAACACTTTATACTCCGACTAAGTAATATTGTAGTACACAACGCACGTGCACAAGATGCACAGGGTCACATTTCAGAAACACTCTATATGAATTTTATTATTAGCTTCAGTGTTTTTACTCTACTTTAATGGCATTTCATTTAAAATAACTTAAACTGGAGTAAAAATAGGATTACCTGCACATGAGGTGGTGTCGACAACACATAAATGACTGCATCTGCAATATTTTCAGATTCTATTATTTGCTTTTCCTCAAAGCACTGTTTTAGCTTTATTTTGATGGTTTCCGGTATCATTTCTGTATCCACAAAACCAGTACTGAGATTCTACAAAAACGAAAGAAAAGGAATATAAATTTAAATAAAATAAAAGTGGAATAACAAAGTTAAAGTTACTACTTTGAGATTGAAACGCATTGGAAACTTCAGTGAAATTTTGTCTAGAACTACAGTTAATGAGAAGGAAATGTTCTTGTGAATAAAATGATAGCAAGCATGAAAATTAAAATAGTTACCGTAATTTTTATCTTCAACTTTAAACTAATAAACTCCAGTCTCAGAGTTTCTGCCAGGGCTCGTACTGAGAACTTAGTGGCAGGGTAAATGTTTACTTTTGGAAAATTGGGCACCTGATGTCCTCCGATACTATTGATGTGGATTATGTGACCGTCTACGTTGTTCGCCCTCATATCTCTGACGGCTTCTCTCGTCGCTATACATATGGCGAGAATGTTAACTTCGAGGACATTTCTCCACATTTCGGTGTCTCCGTCTACAAGTGTTGCGCTTTCGCAGACTGCAGCGTTGTTGATAAGAATGTGGATTGGACCAAGGTTTTCCTTGATCCATTTGAAAGCGTTAAGTATGTCTTCTTCTTTGCTTAAGTCTGTTTTGATGGGGTAAAGCTTGCCTTTCTGATTGGTAAGTTTCTGGGCCAAAGCCTCCATTCGATCTAGTCTTCGAGCTAAGGCGGCAACCTAGTTAACGTATTGTTAATTAATGCGGTCAAAATTGTGTTAAATAAAAGTCTACACTTGGAAAAATTAGTTTTTAGGCCAAAATATATCGGGCGTTTCACGTCAACGGGCACAGTGGGCTGCCCAGAATAAAAATGCATCAATATTGACGGTCGACGTGTCAAAAGCTTCGTATTTAAAAACTATATCGAATGCCGCCTGGTGATTTTAAAAAAACATCATGGCGATTCCAATATGGCGTCCGCAATCATGGAAAATTCTGTTTAATGAGCAATATTGATAGATAAGAAACATAAAAATACTGTATTGTAGACTGAATCACCATATCTATACGTTTTTGGGGTTGCTGATTTCGAATTCAATATTTATTAAACCCCATCTGGTCACTGTTCGTTCCTAACCTTAAAAATACTTCAAATCGTTGAAATAATGCGTTTCTACGATGAGTAACACAGTCTAACCACCACAATTTATGTTTTCGGGATCGCTGAAACCAATTCTGATATCAATATAACTTCAACTACTCAGAGTTCGTGCCTAACCTCAAAAAAGTAGCGCAAATTGCTAAGATTACACTTTTCTGCGTTTAGGAATTAAGTGTAACCAACATACCTTTATATTTTTGGGGTCACTGAATCGAATTCCTACATTCGTTTGAACCCAACTAGTCATTAGTCGTACCTAACCTCAAAAGCTATAATAGTGCGACCACCATATTTTTTGTTTTTTACCTAACGAGCTTGTAATATGATGAAAGGTATGTTCCATATAAAAAGAACGAATCCTTTTTAGAAGTACTGCATATAATACTAAAGAAAAGGTAATACGGACTTTATGTCTTAGCCATGATAACGGCCTCAACCCGATTAAACACAAAACGCATCCAGGGTGTACCATTGAAAACTTTGCACCCGGCTTATTTTGAACTACGTTCCAAAATATTAGAATTGCCGCGACACGTCCATTTTGTTTTCGAGGGTTACACATTTTAGCGTTAAATACAGACTCGCCAGAACAACCCCCTTCGCGGGGCGCATTCAATTTTAGAATCTTAAATGGCACTCTAGGTCGAGTGACACCTCATTCGAAAGTGTTTTTAATTCTGGTTGTCATCATGTAATTTTTTTTCAATTTTCAAGTTTTCAATGGTACACCCTGTATATTGTTTAACCTGTTGAATTTAAAAATATCGAAAGTACTGAAAGGACGGGATAATTCTTATGTAAGCCTTAATCGATTCGGCAAATACTACCTATTTCGAAATTTATTTCAGTATGTGGATTCAGTCAACGAACTCAGAAATTAATATGATTTCATCAAAACCCTAATCAAAGTGTCAGCGCACCAGAGACTTTTTGAAAGATAGTAGCGTTTGAGTATTGCTATCCAATATTTCGTGTTTTTCAAGTGTATCTTCAGGGGCCATATTGGAACTACCACGAGAGGGTTAGAGAAGAGATAAGGCTTGGGGGTAACTTTTGTAAATAACAGATCAATCGGATATAATAATCAACTTTAATTTAGTTACCTGTAATAAATTATAAGCGATTTTGGTGATATTGTGATCAGACTGTATAACTCAACCAGAAAAAGTGTCATTTTAGTGATTTGGAATATTTTTTGAGGTTAGGTACGACTAGTGACTAGTTGAGTTCAAACGGATGTAGGAATTCGATTCAGTGATCACAAAAATATAAAGACATGTTGGTTACACTTCATTCCTAAACGTAGAAAAGTGTAATCTTAGCAATTTGCGCTACTTTTTTGAGGTTAGGCACGAACTCTAGTTGAAGTTATATTGATATCAGAATTGGTTTCAGCGATCCCGAAAACATAAATTGTGGTGGTTAGACTGTGTTACTCATCGTAAAAACGCATTATTTCAACGATTTGAAGTATTTTTAAGGTTAGGGACGAACAGTGACCAGATTGGTGAATATTGAATTCGAAATCAGCAACACCAAAAACGTATAGATATTGTGATTCAGTCTACAATACAGTATTTTTATGTTTCTTATCTATCAATATTGCTCATTAAACAGAATTTTCCATGATTGCGGACGCCATATTGGAACCGCCATGATGTTTTTTTTTTTAAATCACCAGTCGGTATTCGATGGAGTTTTTAAATACGAAGCTTTTGACACGTCGAACGTCAATATTGATGCATTTTTATTCTGGGCAGCCCACTGTGCCCGTTGACGTGAAACGCCCGATATCTGTTTTGTCACTGAATTGGATTTAGCAAATTACGAGGCATATCCACAAAGTAAGATTTTTTTTTAAATTGGAAGGTACATCAAACACTATATACCTTCGCCAAAAAAATTTCCCTCCGCCTCTCATGCCCATTGTTTCACGGCACTGGGACCTCATCATCGGTAGAAAACCTTTTTCCACCCATAAATACCTTCAGAGAAGAGAAAAGATGAAAATCAGAAGGTGCTAGGTCAGGGCTGTGAGCGGAGTGGTTGATGATGTTCCAACCGAATGAATCCAAAAGTTGCTTTGTGGTGTTGGCTCCCTTCGTTAACATTCCCCTTTGTGTTCTGTATCGCCCTTTGTACTGTTTCCAGGGTTGTACAGTACCGCGCAGCATTAATTGTTTCTCCCTGGGGCAAAACGTCAATAAGGAGAATCCCTTTACGGGACATTAGACCGATGCATCACATCATCTCCATAAAAATTTTAAACGGGCCCTTTCTCATTGCAAGAAGAAACCGCTCCTAACTTCGCAGTTGACGGGATTCGGAATTGCAACACTCATTTCAACACGCCACTACAACAATAGTTCTCAACTGACTGAGACATAGTCTCAGAGTCTCAGTTCTCTTACTTTGTGGGTATACGCAGTTAAGGTATCTTTTTAAAAAACATGTACTCTATTATTAGTTCTCGTACTTTTATACAATTATGGGTATTAAGCTAAATAAAAAAAATTTTTTCCTAAAAAATCTTCTCAAATGTTAAAGTTTTTCGATACTAGAAATCTAAGTATGCAACAGATATATAATCCGACAGACAAAACTTCTAACAGCCGATGTTTTAGAATAGACTAAAAATATAATACCTAAATAGTACTTAAAATAAGAAGATGATTCAGAATAAAATTACTAAAGTATAAAAAGAAAATATATATATTTACAAAACTAATTATTATCAAGGATATTGAGAAGTAAAAAAGTAACAAGCAAAACAGAGAAAACAAAAATTTCAAAAATTAAAAAAATGTTCAAGGTTTATAAAATTATTATAATTACAAAAAGTAGTTTTGTTTTTAAATCTGTAATATTTATGCATCAAATTTTCAGAACTTTTTCGGAATGAAATCAGTTCTATTTTAGATGTTGATGAACTATCAATCCTAGATATTTCACTGACAATGTTAGGTCTGTTATGTTATTTATGAAATTCAACACATTTATATTGCGTATCTTTAATTAATTTTTTGTAGACTTGATAGGAAAGGTTAGAAATTTTATTTTTCTTGCATTTAAGACGGTTGTACATCATGCCAATAAATTCTACATTGTAGCAAATATGTATTTTAGAATTATTTCCGCACTGATATTAGAACCGGTTCCAAATATTAGATTTCAGTAAGTTTTTGGAATCGTATAGCCGTTTTTAGGCTTAAAACACTAATTTGCAATTAATTAGAAATAATTAATTATCTACATAAATTACAAATAAACTAGCACTAAAACAGTGCCTTGTTGAACTCCCATAATACAAGTTAATGATCACTAAGAGTGGAATCCTATTTAAATGATAGAGTTCAATATGTTCAATACAACGGTGTTAAGTCTGGTTTAAAGAAAACTATCCATGGTGTGCTCCAGGGCTCAGTATTGGGCCCTCTGCTATTTTTAATTTACATAAACGACTTTCCAATTCCTTTAGATGGATCTTTAGTTTGAACAAGTCGAAAACGGTGACTATGGGTTTTACCCTACGAAGTGTAGAACATTTAAATAATCCAGATTTTGTTAAATTCTTAGAAGTATACTTAGACTCTAAATTGTTATGGGACCAGCATGTCAATTATATTTGTTCCAAAATATCAAAACATCTATATTTGCTCCGTACTCTCTTATATAAAGTATCCAGAAATATTTTACTAACAGTATTTCACTCTGTTTTGTCTCATGCAATCCTTGTTTGGGGTCACGCTCTCTCGAGCCAGAAAGTGTTTTCACAACAGAGAAAGGCTATCAGGGTGATATCGGGCTTAAACTATAGAGATGACTGCAGAGATCAGTTTATTGAATTGAATATACTCACATTCCCATGTACTTACATATTCCACTGTATTATGTATGTTAGAAACAATATAGAGTCATTTGACTGTACCCGCAATAGGAACTACCTCTCAACTAAACATCTAAGACTAACTAGAACACGAAATGGTACAGGATATTGGGGTTTAAAATTCTTTAATGCTCTCCCTGACTATGTAAGGATTTTAAATATAAATACTTTTAAAAAAAGAATCAAGAATTATTTATTGAGAAACGCTTTTTATGATTTTAATCAGTTTTTATCAAGTGACTTACACAATATTTAATTTGTTAGTTTTAACTATTTGTTTGTTCTTATCATCTGTCCCTATCTACATGTATTGTTTTGTATGTTTGTAGTATTTTTAATTAGTTGTTAGTCTGTAACTATTTTATATTGATTTTACCTAGCTTTGTATATTTTTTATATAGTTAAGTCCTTTTCCTTATCTTTTGTCGTGTGTAAACACTGGTGTGTACTGACATGAGTTGAAATAAATAAATAAATAAATAAATAAATAAGAGATGATTATTTTGACTGCCTGTACACGATGTAGGAGGTTTAAAAATTTGGGTGCTAAACCTCTGAAACAAAATATCGTGATTTACCGTATCAGACATTTTGAAAAGATCTTTTTTACTTTTATTTTAGCTACATAGTATATTTATAAATACTGACATTTTTTAAACATTCTGATTCGCTTACCTTAAGCCCTTGTTCCACCAACGTCTCTGCAATAGCAGCTCCAATACCGGAACTAGCACCGGTGACTACGGCAACTTTGCCCATCCACCGATCCATAGACAGCACCATTGTAATTTTGTAATGTGATTTACTTATCGTGACTAGCCTAGAAGACCTATTTATACCTTTTAATAATAATAATATGGACTATATAATTCTCCATTACCATAAAAATTGCTTATTAAAATCGTGTGCGTTCGTTTTAATAGAAGGATAAACTTTTATTTAATACACAGTACGTTTGCATATATACATAATTTGGAATAAAATTAAATAAAAAACGGATTAAGTGTCAGGTAGAAAAATATTTAAAAAAAATTGTAACGTCACTCTCGTTAATTTGTGGAATAGCAACATTGCAAAATATATCGAGGTTGCCTGATGGGAAGTGAAAACTTGTCGGCAATAAAGGTTAGCCCTTTTAAATTGATTAATTCTTACGTAGGTGCGTTTAATTATTTCAAGTAAACATAAAAAACTTATTTTTATTAACTTTACATTTTAACTTCACTTCTAATCTTGACGGTGTCAGTAAATAAACAAGATCAGTAAAAAATTTACTTACCACAAATTCCTGTAGGCACCGAATTGTAATATTTAGTGTTACCAATATTGTTTTATTACTTTATAAATAAATAACATATATAGAGCAATCTTTGCGTATAAAGGTTAGGCAAAGGTCAATATGGTTATTATTAGTGTTTCTCATACTCTTCAATGACTTTAAATGAAGAAATATTTGTATAATTTACACAGTCATATTATTTACTTACCTCAGTATTTATTTATAACATTATATTTAGGTAGTTAAAACACTATACTATATTATTACGTCATTAATGAATCTAAGCATGCCTACTGAACAACTAGCACAGTTCTCCATAGAGGCGTGTTGTCACAACACCGGATAATCATATGATTAATGTTGTTTTGGTTGAGTGGACTGTAAACTGCTTTTCTGCGATTTTAATAAATTTATTTCCAAGTTAATAACAATGTAATGGCGATATGGCAAGAGAATACAAAAATAGCGTCTGTCTTCTCTGGCATCAACTGAATTACTGGTAATACTGGTGCAGGGCCCGACAACTTATACTTGAAAATATGGGGAAACTGGGAACCACGTGACTTGAGATGGATATACAAATTGGGGAAAGAGTCTATAGATGTCGCCACAAAGATTTTGTAGAATAAATTTTGACAATTGCAATTATGAACAGTGTTGTTCCAGCTATTACAATTCTACTAGATCTATTACATTTGAGAAAATTCTATTACCCTATTACTAAGTTGTCAAAATCTATTACACTATTAGGCTTTTTTTCGCGATTGAATATTGGTGAATATCTGACTTAGAGTTACTATTTCTATCTCTTTTGATCTTAGTTGTCACATGGACTTCACTTGCAATTCTTGCAAAAAAAACCTATTGAATTTTTAGTTCGACAGTGAGGAAATTCTGGAGATGAAAAACCACAGAATCTTTATAAATTTATTTCAACCAAAGAAAACAAAAATACATATGGTTCCTTTGAAGAAACAATAACACTAAAATAAAATATAATTATAAGAAAACGAAACTTTACTCAATAAAAACAAACTTTTGTTAAAAAATAAAACGATATAGGTTAAATCACAGAGTAAACTAAAGTTTAAAGATGTGAAAACGGTATATTTCAGTCAACGAACAAATCCTATTACAGTTTTCTGTCAATCTATTACGATTTTCTATTACAAATTATTTAAGCTCTGGAACAACACTGATTATGAATCATTTCATGTCATTCATGTTGTCCATGTTTATTGTTGGTTAGGTTTGGCGAGTGTTGCTGTGTGTTTTATTTGCGTTTTTAGTGTGTATTTCATTCACATTTATTTATATAACATAATAATGTCTGATCATCATATAATCACATTTTTTTATTAATAAAATGTTTTGTTTTTTTGTTTTTTTTAATAAAAAATGTGATCAGAGGTAGGTAGTTTTTTTATGGATATCAACACAACGAAAAATTTAAAGTTGCATAATAAATCTCTATTACAAGAATTAATCAGATTGGTTTAGTAAAATTATTTACTTGTAATATTTTTTTATTCACCGTGAAATCTAATACAATATAGAAAGCACTGAAACTCTATAATCATTTCCACTCTTTTTTTTTCAAAATATGTACTGAAATTTGAAATTTTTTCAACAAACATTTTAAAAAGTTACAGTATCAAAATTATTTCTTATTTTAAGTAGGAAGACTATTAGAGCATTTAAAAGTGTCTTTAATGCTTGAGTGATTTTAATGCTTTTTATCAAAAGTACTTATTTTCTCATGGTGACAAAAAAAATTAACTACGTGAAAATTATTTTACAAAATCAATTTCTGAGTGATCTGTGTAAGGTGAGATTTGTTATGTAATTTTAAATTTAGCGGCGTCAGAATACCTAAAACAAATATTAAGTAGGTAGGTATATAGTTGTAGAGCGTACAACTAGATGGCGCTTGCATCTTTTACCGGCTACAGGTAATTTAACTCACTGTATTACCGATAATTCCTAGAAAAGGAAAGCAATAGAAGTTGGAGAAAGTGTCAACAGTTAGCGCTGTTAATGACCACGAAATCTGTTCAAGTTTCCTATCTATAGTATCATTTATCTAGGTACTGGTGTAGTAGTAATGTCAATATTATAGTGATTCGTTACTAAAGAATCGTTACTTCGAATACTTGCCATATGCAATACCAATACACACTACCAGCGAGTAACAAGGCTACGGTTAGTACGATTTCCATGGATAACTAGATTCAGTCTCGGTCGTCGAAGCGATAATGTCCCCCACTTCCACACGTGCCTTGAACAAATGTGATTGGTCGAGCCAAATAAAGATCATGTAAATTCACACTTTTATTCAAACACACACAGGATCAGAAATAATTCATTTTAAAATACATCCCAAAAAGAAAAGTTTAGTGTAAAATATGTATTATACAGGATGTTTCTGAAATAAGTACGATCCTACGATCCTTGAAAAGGGATGATTTATTCAAATCTCGTTTAAAAGTAACAAAAAAATTAAACGATAAACGAAATACTTACCAATAGGAGATGTGCTCTACAAAAATTGTTCAAGCTTGTTTCCATATGCTAATAAACATGCTTCCAAACGACAAAATCCGCATACGTGTAAATAGTCAAGCATTTATCGAATTTCATTAGCTGCATAAAAAATACGCTGTTGAAGATCAGCTTCATTAACAACAGACGTACGTACATATTTTGTTTCATACACCCCCAAACAAAAAAGTCGAGAAGGCACGGATTTATAAAGGGACGTCTTCCAACAAATCCGGTAAGGCGTTTGTTAAAAACTCTAAATAAACAGCACCATTTAAACATGCAGGTTGCTGGAACCGAGATATCTGTACAACGTGAGGATTTGCATCACACCAATAGTGTATATTGTGAAAATTTAGTATGCCATCTCTAGTAAAACAACATTCATCCGTAAAAAGTACCTTACTTCTAAAATACGGATCTTGTACTATTTGATGTCGAAACTACTGGCAAAATTCCACACGGGGCTGAATTATTGTTCACCAGCTTAGGTCGCTACACACACAGCAACCCGGCATTGAAATATTTGAAAAACTTGTTCCCATATTTATTTAGCCAAACCCATATACAGGTCTGGTCAAACTAAACGTGGAGATGGTAGAAATGTATACGCCCAGTTGAAGAATGCGCACGCGGACAAACGGCGTACAAACACACCCGCACTAGGCGACTGGGCCATAAAGTTCAGTTGTTAACAAATTGCCTAGCAGTGCAGTGCGTCACTGCGGAATTTGGTGTAATTCAGGTAATTTTAATTTCTTTTCTGCGGTGGGTAGGGTGTCCCAAAAGTGACGGCCGTCTTTCTGGGATTTGAATAAGGAGACAAAATGGAATCGAAAATCAAGAGTGGAAAATTTTCCGATTGTTTTGAGTTATTGAAAAATTATTTAAAAATCTAAAAAAAATAAAATCCATTTTTTTATCTCAAAGACAAATAATTTATAACTAATAGTAGGCAAGTATAGTTTCCGATTGTTGGTTGTACCTGGGTGTAAGGAATTATTTTAACCTGAAAAGGGTAGAGAAAAACATTTTAATAATAAAACAGTTTGTAATGGAGTAATGGAGAGGAAAAAACTTATAAACTAAAACCATAATGTGCTTAAATAATAGAATATGAACTCTTTGTAACATCTCTTGGTTTATTAACGCGACAGCAGCGTGCATACGGGCTTATACAACAGGTTCGCTTTAAATCTTTTCTTTTAAATAACCCCAAAAGAAGGGATTTCAGATCTGGTGACCTACGAGGCCATGGTCCCCCTTTTCCGATCCACCTGTCTGAGAAGTTTTTATTTAGATAATTTCATACTTGTAAACCATGTGATGAAGCTCCATCATGTTGAAACCATGAATTTAGTCTAACTGCTAACGGAACGTCATCCAAATACAGCTCTGAACTACATAATTATTTAATAATCCAGCCCAAATGTTTATTTTTAGTTTTTTGAATTACTCAGTAAAGAAAAACAATCGGAAAATTTTCCACTCTTGATTTTCGATTCGTTGTCCCCTTAAGGGCCCCATATTCTTTAAATAGTATTTTCCGCAAAGACAAATAATTTCAAACATTTAATAACTGAATAATATAAAGCTTATCAAATAATAGGAATGTTATGTCATGCCATCTGGGTATTTTCAAAGACGCCGCAGTAAAACCAATAAACAGGTGCAAAAAACGATCAAACCATCAAGGTTTTAGGTACTGAAATCTACGAAAATACTAACTTTTTTAGACATAACTCCACATGTAAATATTCTTATAACATTTACTTGCTTAGTCCTACATATAAAATTGTTTACTTTTATTTATAAGTACGTGAAAATAATTCTTAAAATGTGGGGTTAGGATAACAGAAAACGCATGTTTTACAAACGCTTTTTTTTTAGTTATTATTTTATTTGGGTAAATTTAAATGGTATCAATGAATAAACAAAACATCAAGGATTTCTACACGTTTTACTTTTCAAGATTTCAGTACCTAAAAATGCCAGAAATTTCACCATTTCTCGGCCAGGGATATGGCCACCTTAATCAAAACCCAGAAAGACAGGCGTCACTTTTGGGACACCCTGTATAATAAAAATATAAATTTTTCGTTGAATTTAAGAGCCACTTTGATAAGTAGATATTGAGTCTAAAACGTAGTTTTATTTGATGTGTTAGCAAAAAATCATTTGTACCAGTTTGTAGACAGTTTTCGTTCGCTTTTTTTTCTTAGTGGAACCCTATATTAAATTTGTTATACAAGCAATATTTTTAATATAATTAATTCATTCACAACTATCTATATTCTATTCTTAGCTTTATCTCTTTATTAAGATATTAAGCTAATTCAACTTAGCAAACAAAGTAGGATATTTTTCATCCATATATTCCGATATAAACATATCGGGCTTGGAAAAAAACATGCTGTTCTTCTGTTATGACATTTTTCAAGTTAAGAAAGAGTTCATCTGTTATAATCGTTTCCAGTGAATTTCCCGGTATCGAAATCAGACAAACTGGATGATAATATCTTACATCGAAGTTTCTTCCATATTTATGGATTGGTGTAACCCTAATTTCTTTCCAAATACATACAAATACTCTTTCATAAATAAATAAACAAATAAATAAACAAATCAAGTAAATTGACATTTTCACATTCCTTTTCCTTTATCATACTTCATCTAATAATCTTCAAAGTACCAGATGCTGTAATATTTTCAAATTCAAATTTAAAACAAATTGTTTTTTAATACTCTTTATAAATGATATCTAATCAATGATGATTATCCTGTAACAGCTGATAATAAATATTTTGTAAATATACGTGCAACAATTTTAAATGTCTCATATCGGTCACCACTATCTTCAAATTTTGCTCGAAATTATTTCGTCACAAAAGTTTTTTATGTGGGCCTAGAATTCTTTGAAAAACAATTTAGTATTCCAGTCGGTGGAGCAGAAAAGTGAGCATCAAAAGTTGCCAAATATTATGTAGAATCGAGTTTGCCTATTGAATTTTCGGATATTTGTTGTTCTACTAAATTTGGCTCTTGTTTTTTGCAATGGGCAAACTCGGGATCTCAATCTACATAATATTTGGCAACTTTTTGCGCTTCCTTATAAAATTATGCTCTCTTTAATTGTCGCAAGCCATCGCTACCCGAAACTATACCTCTTTTATTTTGTATAAATATTAATTGTGAATTTGTGACCATCTTTTACATAGTTTTTCATGCAGAATCCTGCTGCAACCCTTTTTAGTTACATCCTCTGTATTTTGTTATCTGATATATTTCTTTCTACGTATCAAATTTCGAATTAAATTCTTTATCTTAAAAAAACACGTAAAAACCTATTAAGAAGATAAGGGTTTCACAAAACCGTGACTTTTATTTTTATTTGTAGTATATACACAAAAACTTCTTATACAAGGAATATTCATATATTTTATACAATTATAGTTATTTAATAATCACTATAATAAGTATTTTCGTTTATATCTTCCAAATGAGTTGACCGCATCAATTCAAATTTAGTGTACAGGGTGATATACAAGCTCTATGACAAACTTTGGGTTGGGTTAATTTCAAACACTTTTTCTTATATGAACATAGGTCCGATTCCGTTTTGTTTAGTAGTTACAACATTTGTGTCATTTTGTTTATTCATTTGACACTTACCGTTGAAGTGCTAAATAAAAAAATGCATTTATTTACAACTGAAGAGTATGCAGATAACAGGCCGTATTTATAAAAAGGATTTGCTTTTACTCGCAGAAATCAAAACATTTACTTTACATTATATTCATAAAAAAAGGAAAAGATTTGGTCTTGGAGCAAACAGGTGCTGCTTCAAAGGAAAAGGTTTTACTTTTTTTGGTATTCATAAAGAGTAGCATTTGCTTTAAAACTGAAGGATTTCCTTCAGAAAATATGCATCTAGTCCAGTGGTGGCTCGTCAGGTGACGCAAGTGACGCACCGCTTCACCTAAAATTTTTGGTTGTGCAATTTAAAATTATTTTTAATTTTATATAAATTTTATAATTTAGATGAGTGATAATGGAGTACCGGAAACTGACTGGGTGATTGTCTTTAGATGCGATACTATTTTTGGAATTGTTATGATGGTTTTTTCAATATTATTTGTTCCCGAATAAATGGATTGATACGGATTTTGGTCTGGAGGCATCATCAGATCTTTTTTCTTCGAAAATGTAGCTGGTCAGGCAATAAAAGTTAATAGTGTTTGCTATCGCGACTTGATAATCCAGTTTTTTTGTGCCCATATTGCAAGATATAAATGTAGACGACATATCGTTTCAACAAGACGGTGCCATATGCCATACAGCCAGAGAAACAGTTCAATTACTGCATGAGTCTTTTCCTGGTAGTGTAATTTCCCATTTTGGTGATCAGAATTGATCGCCGTATAATGCGATTTAACGCAATTGGACTTTTTTCTTTGGAGTTTGGAGTTTCTTTGGAGGAAAGAATTGTATTGTAAACAATTGATTATTTGGTTAAGTGTGGCGATACAAGGTCGGACTAAGTTTCCCGTAATAATTCTTAACTAATTTTCTGGAACACGACAGTTTAGACATTAATGCTTAATGAAAGTTGTTTATTTTCATGTCCTCCATTTTCCCCTCTGAACGATTATTTCAGAAAAAATATAATCAACTACCAAGCCTCAAGGCTTAAGAAATAGACTAATAGCAATATTTATTTAACAATTAGTTATAACGAACTTACACATACATTATGTACTCTTTGGTATGAAATCAGTAAGTTTAGGTTCAATCACAGCCCTCACTGTAAGTTCCTGAATCTGAAAAAAAAAAAGAAAATATACCTTTGATTTGAGACTAAACAGCCAAAGCTGCAATTTAGTAAAGATACTTCTAATGACCAATCACATCGTATTTGGGCAATGGTCAAGTGTAACGAAGGAAAGGACGATTTAACTTGAAAAAAAATGTTACCTGCACGTGGGGTGGCGTCGACAATGCGTAGACCACAGCATCAGCAATATTGTCAGCTTCGATCATTTGCTTATCATCAATAAACTTTTGCATCAAATCCTTCATATTATTATCTTGTCCTATTTCCGTAGCCACTGGGCCTGGACTGAGGTTCTTAAATAATAAAGTTGTTTTTAAAAACGTAGAAAAATGTTATTAAAAAAAATATTATATTTCCATCGAAGGGTAAATATTGTTCACAACTAAATTAACAAGAAAACATAATGCACACAGTAAGAGAAAGCAAAAGAAATAAAAATAAACACACAATACATTCAATATATACAATACTGTGCAAAACCATACTTATCGTATCACCTTCGACGTCACCTGTTACATAGGTGTTGTATAATAATGAAAACGTAATATGGACAAACGCTTAGGTGGGGAATTCTGGAAGGAAGCCTAAATAGTGGAAGGGAGAACAGGGTAGAGATGGGAGGAAGACGATCGACGGGCAGTGTGGCAAAATAGTGAAAAATCAAAGTGTTTAACCCGTATTAATTAGCAGGTAATATTATTTAAGTACTTTGTTGTTAATTGTTCTATGTAATCTTATTATTGTGATGGTTATAGATGTTTCATGATAATAATTCTTTGTATGTTTAGCCTTCATTGCTTTATGCTCAAGGGCATATATTTTTCTAAGGTAAAATTGTTACAATTATTATTAACGATTGCTCATTATTTATTACATGTTAAAATATATGCATATTGTCGTGACTGCCCAGATATTGCAATAACAACTCCTTTGTTTCACATTTAACTCGTTTTGTCACGATTACATTGTTCCGAAAACAAATAATAAAACGTTTCTTGTGCTCACTTTATGTCGTACGCATATAAGAGCCTTGTTGAATTTACTAACATTTTCGCCCGTGAGGAATGAATCTGTAAAAAGAATAATTAAAAACAAAAAAATAATTGCTAAAACAGATCTTCCGAAATCTCAACTCATAGCTGGATTGCCTCCCGTATGGGACTCCAATACATTCCGGCCCTACCGGCTAACTAACACCAAACCTATTCAGTTTTACTTGGAAGTGTGTATATCTAATTCGAGTGAGTTGATATTTAGTGAGACATTAAATAAATCGGGTGTTATTCATTATTAGCAAAGGATCTTAATTTATGCATTTTGTTAGCGGTTGTTTTGTATTTATGTTTGGGTAGTTAGAGCAACGATCGTGGGTTTCTCTGCCATGCTCTTTCCCCACAGGAGCTCTAGGTGTGCCTGGCACTCTCATTTTATGTTAAATGGTTGTTAATGTTTTTGTTGTTCTTTCTATTTGTCACATGTTTAATTTTAAGACTGTTGTACGTAAATAATAAAATTAGGTGTATTTACTCTGCTTTTGTTTTATAAAATTAAACCACACTTCCCCTCTTTAAAGTTAGTAGCCAGCGCCTTTTCGTTAATTAGAAATAGATGTATACAACGTAGGTATTCCTTATGACGTTTACATATTTTTGGCCACAACTACGTTTATTTTTTTTTTCGATCGAACCCGGGCTGTTATACTACAATACAAACAATACATACAATACATACAATACATACAATGCATACAGTACATACAGTGCATACAATACATACAATACATACAATACATACAATACAAACAATACATACAATACAAGACTGTACTAACAAATAATAACAAAAACTGAGTGATCCAGAAGGCAATTTAATTTGCTTGAAAATTATTACCGTAATTTTTATTTTCGACTTCATATTAAGGAGTTCCAATCGCAAAGTTTCCGCTAGGGCAGTCACAGCGAATTTGCTGGCAGGATACACATTTAATCCCGGAAAATCGATCACTTGGTGGCCTGCGATACTGTTGATGTGGATTATGTGTCCGTTTACGTTGTTCGCCTTCATATCTCTTATGGCTTCCCTCGTAGCTATGCACAAACCGAGGACATTAACATTAAAAATGTTTTTCCAAACCTCAGTGTCTCCATCTGTAAGATTTGTCTGTCCAACTATTCCAGCGTTGTTGATGAGGATGTGGACCGGGCCTAAGTTTTCCTTGACCCATTTGAAGGCGTTTAGAATGTCTTCTTCTTTGCTTATGTCTGTTTTTAAAGGGTATAGTTTGCCTTTTTTTCCAGAAAGTTTTTTGGCTAATGCCTCCATGCGATCTAGTCTTCGAGCTAACCCGACAACCTTTTTCAGAAAAAAAAATAGGGCAGTTATTTTTTACATTTGTTTTCCTTTACCAAATTAAGAAAAAATAATATTAATACATCGGAAGATTATTACGAGTACATTACGAAGAAGCAATATTTTAAAAGGCATGTCTTATTTAGTAGATAGTACCTTTTATAAATGCTACCAAATAAATAATTATTAGTTCGATAATTTAAAAGTTGCTAATCGTATATAACCAATTTAATTTACTTACCTTAACTCCCTGTTTCACCAACTCCTCTGCAATAGCAGCCCCAATACCAGAACTAGCACCCGTGACTACGGCCACTTTGCCCACCCAACGATCCATAGACAGCACCATTGTAATCTTGTAATCTTGATTTGAATCACTTGCTACAAATGATCGAAAATATATATTCTGTCTATTTATATCATCAGTGCTAATAATCGGTAGGAGTGGGTCACTGTCAAGTGATTATTCGATTTAGGATATCTATGTCGTCATTTTAAAAGAATGATAGGCAATTTTAACGAGTATGACTATTTATGTTACAGATTATCAAATAGATAACTTCTGTCATTTTTTCATATGCATTCTTTTTCTAAAATCTAAGTAGTATAATATATCGTACCAGCTATACAAGAATTTCTGATTAAAAAGGAAACTTACATGTGTATTTTGTTTATGGCCTTGCTGACGGTAATGTATCTGAATTCTGAAGCATAAATGCCCTCAACGAGTTTTAAGTGTGTCGATGCAACATAAAAACAAATTTCGCACAGGTTTTTCAATATGTCTTTCACAATGATAGCCCGTACAATATTATTAAATTATAATAAATAAATAAATTATCTATGATATAGGTATTGATAAAAATGTTTTAAAGAATCAACGAATATCTATGTAGTTTCATATGATAATCTGCAGCGGTGTCGTAGTTAGGTTATTTAATCATAATATCATTAATTAGCTACTATTTTAATTTTTTGGTATTGAAATACTGCAGAAAATATATTTCCAAACAAACAAAATTCGTAATGATATTTCAAACAGCTTGTAATATAATTTTTTTAATATTTGATGTTGACGTTAAGGTGGCCATATTCCTGGCCAAGAAATAGTGAAATTTCTGGCGTTTTTAGGTACTGAAATCTTTAAAAGTAAAACGTAGAACAAAAGTAAGCACAAAAATAAAATCCTTGATGTTTTGTTTATTCATTGTTACCATTTAAATTTACTCAAATAAAATAATAACTAAAAAAAAGCGTTTGTAAAACATGCGTTTGCTATTATTCTAACCCCACATTTTAAGAATTATTTTCACGTACTTATAAATAAAAGTAAACAATTTTATATGTAGGACTAAGCAAGTAAATGTTATAAGAATATTTACACGTGGAATTATATATAAAAAAGTTAGTATTTTCGTAGATTTCAGTACCTAAAACCTTGATGGTTTGATCGTGTTTTTGCACCTGTTTATTCGTTTTACTGCGTCGTCTTGAAAATACTCAGGTGGCATGACATAACATTCCTATTATTCGATAAGCTTTAGATTATTCAGTTATTAAATGTTTGAAATTATTTGTCTTTGCGGAAAACACTATTTAAAGAATATGGGGCCCTTCATACAAGGTGGGTTATTAGGAATGTGGTACAGGATTTTTGTTTGTATTTTGACATCCACTTATAGGTTTAATAATTATAGATATAAAAAAACTTTAAATACAAATGTACAACTTTTCCTTTATTTTTTTCAATGATAAATCATTAAAAAAATTCAAATTCATCCTTATTGAAATAAACAACGATTTTTATAACTAACGTTTAAAACATAAGGAGAATACGTAAAAACGAAATAACATTAAAATACCTACAATTTTTACAAATTTTCAACATGCAAGTAATTGTGATGATACAGTTGAAAATATGCTTTACTTTACTATTTATTGCTTTAAAAACAAATTCAGAATTATCAAACATTTCGTCCTGTATTTTTTCTTTCAATGCTTGTAAATTTTGATGTCTTTAATAATATATTTTGTTGAAATGTCCCCACAAAAATATGTCTAAAGGATCGGGGCTGTTTTCTGGGCACCTATAGTTCGGTCAATCTAGACATTCAAAGATACATAAATTTACAACAAGCTGAAAGTGAATAAAGTTGTTCAAAACATAATTAAAAATAACATATTAAAATTCCTCATCGTTCCGGTACTTGGAAAAAAATTTACTCGAGGTCAAAGGTAAAAAAAAAATGGGGTTTTCGCGATTTTCAGCTAAACGGTAAGTTTTATCATAAAATTACCTCAGACAAAAATTGTAGATCTTAAAATTATCTATAAAAAATACTTTTTTCCTGAGAGCCACCGTTTCTGAGATATAACGATTCAAAAAGTTGTAAAAGTTGTAATCATCATAATATGAACACGTTTCCACGCCACCTATGAGGTAGTGTACTTAGCACGTTTTTTTTAACGTGGTTTCCCCAGTAGGCCTATTCCACAGGTCTGTTGTGATTCTGTTTGGTTTGAAACTATTGCATAATAACAGATATTAGCAAGGCTTGGAAATGATAAAAGCGATGGAAATTTAAAAAAGTAGAGGAATTTATTCGTCTGATAACCTTCAAATACTTCTTGCTATTCTTCTTGACCTTCTTCTTCTTCTCCTTCTTCATTCTGGGTGTAAGTAAATTGCGTCAATAGTGATCAATGTATCAACGAATGCTCTACTGTTGGTGAATCAACATTAGAACACGACCGGCCTTGACAATTTGTACATGCCAGAGAACAAGAAAGTCCAACATTTTTGCAACCACATTTAGCACTGCATCACTTTTTACAGTTACAGTGGCGTACTTATGCATATTATGACGATTACAACTTTTACAACTTTTTGAATCGTTATAATTTTATAATCTACAATTTTTCTCTGAGGACCTTTGACTTCGAGTAATTTTTTTTCCAAGTACTGGAACGATGAGGGATTTTAATATGTTATTTTTAATTATGTTTTAAACAATTTTACTCACTTTCAGCTTGTTGTAAATTTATGTACCTTCACTCTTATTTTTTGGTCTAATTTGAGCGGACTACTAAGATTTCTAATAATATTTTTTACAGTTTTTGTCGACGGAATTCGTCCTCTAAAATATGTTTACCGATATTCCTGAAGAACATTTGCACATTATTGTTATTTGAATAATACAGTTTAATTATGTCATTGTTATTGCTGCTGAGTAAATAAACTATTCTATTCTATTCTATTCTAATTATGTTTTATTTTTCGTATATCAGAATAACCCATTTTAATTTTTTTAAATTTTTTAAATTAAAATGGGTTATTCTGATAATGGATAAATCCCATGTATTTTTAAAGGAAGGTTCATTTCTGTCGTTTTTGTCTGATTGTGCGATAGAGATAGAGTGACTTTGTCCTCATAGAGGACTTTTCTCTCTTTGTCTCTCTCTGTCTTCAGGAGTCTCTGGGGCTTCCACAGCATCTTCAGGACACCTAGGGCGGGAGCGTGGGGTAGAGCGCCTGGCCTTTTTAGCCTTCGAGAATGCAACTACTATAATCGACTATCAAAAAACTAGGCTTAGTAAATTCAGACAATTTTTTACCTCTGACTCTTCGTCTATTAGTCTCATACAGTTCAAGTACAGTTTATAAACCGACGGATTATTTAGTTTTAAAAAATAATCATTTTGTATTAGTATTGGGGATAACACCTCTAATAAATAAATTAATAGTGACAATCGCAAAGTCAATAATGAGCAAGCGTTTTACACATTTTAATGGCATTAACTGATAAAGAGGAGAGGACTTTGTTCATTTACGTATGCTTTACTTGAATTGCCTCAATCTACAGATTTCTTTTTAATATTTCTTACTCATATGTTTCAATTTTTGCATTTTTATAGCATCCATACAGTAACACCCTTAATTTAATATTTCTTTCATTTAATGTAAAAGATGTATTATAAATCGTCTAGAAAGCCTCAAGTTTTAAGTGGATAAATGATACTACTCTTTATTAAATAATAATAGTTTAATAGAAACATTTATTTAAAAAACAATTCATTGGTGATCAAATAATAATTGAATATATGCTCTTTGCTAATAACTCAAGATTAGGCTCGATCACAGTCCTCACTGTAAGTTCCTGAATCTGAAAAAAAAAAAAAAAACAAGTAAAAATAGGTGTTTAGTTTTGAAATTGAACAGCTACGAAAAGGTACGATCTTGTAGAGATACTTCTAATGACAGATCCCATCTTATTTGAGGAAGTGTAATAAAAGAGATATTTGAAGAATGTTTTAACTTAAAATACTCCCACAGTTCTTTATGGTTCATGAAATAAGGATTACATTTCATTTTTTGACATTTCTTAATCAATTCATTTTGACATTATTCGAAATCTTGCAAAGCTGCCTTGGTTGTGATTTTGTCGTTTTTAAGGTGTTTATAAAGAAAAGTTGCAATTTTGCAGGAAGATGTTACGACCACCAGTCGGCAAAAATACCCTTTCTATGATTCCTAATAAGATTGCACAGTTTTTGAAACTAGAACATACTGAAACATATACAGGCCATTCATTCTGAAGAACATCTGCAACGTTACTGGCTAATACAGGTGGGAGTTGATGTATTAGCAATCAAGGGACATGGTGGGTGGAAATCAGCCACAATTGCTAACAGTTTAAGTAACAAAAATGAAATAGCCAACGGGATTTTTTACAAAGACATTTCAATTCAGGTTCTAGTAGTACGTCGCATCATGCTGTTTTAATAGATCAGTCATATAATATTGAGCCTCCGGTGACTGAAATGGAGCGGTCAAATCATTTTGAGAAAAATGTGACGCGAGTGGAATAATTATCCAGATTTTATAAATGTTACTAAAATAATAACTGTACAATTACTATAAATATTCACTCATGATAATTAATAAAATGTAATGTTCATCAAATATTTCTATTTATTTCTTCATAAAATATGCATTTATAATTCGAAATCGCTTTTTCCATAGGGAGGTAAGTTATCTTATCACTTACCTCCCGTTGTCCATAGCAACTTCCACTTCTACGGTAAAATCCACTTACCTCCTTAAAAACAAAGTATTAATAAATAGTCTATTTACTATAGTGGGTGCAGATAAAAAAGGTTGTTGTAGTTCAATCTACATATAAGTAAAGATTACAGTTTAAGTAACAAGAGTTTAAATAAATATTTTAAATACAATAGAGACAATGACTGAAAGAAAAAGGAAGCATAGTAAAATTACTATATATGGGAGAAAAATTGAGCTACATTTTTAGAAAATAATTAATATGTCGCATGAAATGACCAATGCATAGCTGTTATATACAATATTGTTATATAAAAAAGTGGAAATGTAAAATGATGAA